GTTTGGAAGACTTTTAATGACTGCTTCTATTTTGTTAGGGTTATAGGTCTATTTAAATTGCTTATCTGTTCTTGATTTAATTTTGGTAAGTGATATCTATCCAGAAAATCATTCATTTCCTTTAAATTTTCCAATTTTGTGGAGTACAGGTTTTCAAAGTATGACCTGATGTTTCTCTGGATTTCCCCAGTATCCATTGTTATGGATCCCTTTTCATTTCTGATTTTGTTAATTTGCATGTTCTCTCTCTGCCTTTTGCTTAATTTGGATAACAATTTGTCCATCTTGTTGGCTTTCTCAAAGAACCACCTCTTTATTTCATTGACTCTTTATATTGTTTCCTTTTTTCTACTTTATTGATTTCAGCTCTCAATTTGATTATTTCTGGCATCTATTCCTCCTGGGTGAGTTTGCTTCTATTTGTTCTAGAGATTTTAGTTGTTCTGTTAATTCTCTAGTGTGGCTATTCTTCAGTTTCTCCATGTGGGCACTTAGTGCTATGAACTTTCTTCTTAGAAATTCTTTTAGAGTGTCCCATAAGTTTGGGTATGTTGTGTCTTCATTTTCATTGAATTCTAGGAAGTCTTTTCTTTGTTTCTTCCTTTCTTCCTTCCTTTATCCAGGAGTGATGCAATTGAGCATCATTTACTTTCCATGAGTTTGTGGGGTTTCTGCAATTTGTGTTGTTGAATTCTAATTTTAAGCCATGTTGGTCTGATAAGATATGGGGGGGTTACTCCAATTATTTTGTATCTGTTGAGGTTTGCTTTATTGCTAAGTATGTGGTTGATTTAGAGAAGGTTTTATCATGTGGTGCTGAGAAGAAGGTATATTCTTTTGTGTTTGGATAGAATGTTCTATAGATGTCTGTTAAAACCAGATGGGTCATAACTTCTGTTTCTTTGTTAGGTTTCATCTGATAGTCCTGTCTAGTGCTGAGAGTGGGGTGTTGAAGTATCCTACTATAAGTGTGTAGAGGTTAATATGTGATATGAGTTTTAGCAATGTTTCTTTTACAAATGTGGGTGGCTTTGTATTTGGTGCAGAATTAGATGTTCAGAATTGAGACTTCATCTTGATGGAGTTTTCCTGTAATGCATATGAAATGACCTTCTTCATCTCTTTTGATTAATTTCAGTTCGAAGTCTAATTTGCTTCTTAGGGCCCTTAGATTGGAAAATATTTTCCCAGCCCTTATCTCTGAGGTAACACCTGTCTTTGAATGTGAGGTGTGTTTCTTATATGCATCAGAAAGATGGATTCTGTCTTTGTATCCATTCTGTTAGCCTATGTCTTTTTAAAGGTAATTTAAGATACCGAGGGATATTAATGACCATTGATTGCTCATTCTTCTTTGATTTGGAATGGTTGTTGTTAGTGGAATTATGTGTGGAATTCCACCCCTTTTTTCTTTTGGCTGTTGGTAAGGTGGAATTATCTAACGCCTATGTTTTTCTGGTTGTAGTTAGCTTCCTTGGGTTGGAGTTTTCCTTCCAGAACTTTTTGTAGGGCTAGGTTGGTTTGCTTGAATCTAGTTTTGTCATGGAATAACTTGTTTCCTCCATCTAAAGTGATTGAGAGTTTTGCTGAGTATGGTCATCTGGGCTGAAATCCATGGTCTCTTAGTGTTTGTAGAACATCCATCCAGGACCTTCTGGCTTTCAGAGTTTACATGGAGAAGTCAGGTGTAATTCTGGTGGGTCTGCCTTTATTTGGTCTTTTTCCTTTGCTTCTCTTAATATTCTTTCTTTATTCTGTATGTTTGGTGTTTTGATTATTATGTGGCAAGGGAACTTCTTTTTTTGGTCCAGTCTATTTGGTGTTTGTTAAGTTTCTTGTACTTTCATAATCATGTCCTTCTTTAGGTTGGGAAATTTTTCTTCTATGATTTTGTTGAGTATGTTTTCTGCACCTTAGAGCTGTATTTCTTCACCTTCTATTATATCTATTATTCTTTTCACAGTGTCTCATATTTCCTGGATATTTTGTGTTAAAGATTTGTTGGATTTAAGATTTTCTTTGGTCGATGAATCCATTTCCTCTAGTTTATCTTCAAAGCACCTGAGATTCTGTCTTCCATCTCTTGTATTCTGTTGGTTATGCTTGCATCTGTAGTTCCTGATCATTTACCCAAGTTTTCTATCTCCAATATTCCCTCAGTTTTTGTTTTCTTTATTTTCTCTATTTCCATTTTCAGGTCTTGAACTGTTTGAATTGTTTCCTTCACCTGTTTGATTGTTTTTGTTTTGTTTTGTTTTGTTTTTACTTTCCTTGCTTACTTTAAGAGATTTGTTGATTTCTTGCATTTTTTGGTTTGTTTTTTTCTTCCATGTCTTTAGGGAATTTTCTCATATCCTCTTTGAGGACCTCCATCATTGTAATGAAGTTGTTTTTAAGGTCATTCTCTTCTGTTTCATCTGTGTTGGGATGTTCAAGTCTTGCTAGTGTAGAGTCCCTAGACTCTGGTGGTATCATATAAGTCTTTCTATTGTTAGATATCTTCCCATCTCTTCTTCCAATTGGTATATGAGGGGGTCTCTCCCTCTCCTGGTGGATATGGCTTCAGGGTTCTATCCTCTCCCCTCCCTGCTTTCTCCCAGAGGGTGGAGGGGCAAGACTGGAATGGAAGCCTATGATGCTGGCTGCTTTGTTCTGCCTCCAGGTCCCTCTGCAGGGTTCAGTGGCAAGAAGTGTCTGGTAGCCTCTGGTCAGGGGACTAGAAGAGGTATAGGTGGGCTAGAGGAGTCCCTGGGACTCACCTCTATACCAGAGAGTGGAGGAGCAAGAAGAGAATGGTGGTCCATGATTCTGGGTGTTTTGTTCTCACAGGCTTCGCCTTAAAGCTGCCTTGTTTTGCTTTGCATTGTTGGTTGGTTGTTATTGTTGTTATCTTGTTTGTTTTGCATTGTTATTCCTCTCCCATATTATTCTCAACATCACTAAATGTTGTTAAAGTTCCCCAGGAAGCCTTGTCTAGATCTGCTTCCTCATGTCAAGCACAGAGTGCCCATCCTATGCTCCCAAAGGTTCCTGTGGCAAGGCATACACCACTGAACTGTGATGACATGTTATGCTCTATCTTGTCCCTCCTTGGACTTTGGGTTTTTTGCAAAGTAGAGAGCTGTGCCTTGTTCTCTACTGTATGGCTAAGCTGTGCCTGGAATGCAGTGACCTCTCATTAAACTTTTATTGACTCATCAGTGTTGGGTGTCTTACCTGGAAGACTCTAGCACTCACTTACATTTCACTTGTTTTATTTCATCTTAAATGCTGTGTTTTTTATTCTCCCTGTTAAACTATTTTTTCTCTAGGCTCCCATCTTTGTAAATGAACAAACTTTCAGATCTTCCAGTTGCACACCTAATTATCACTCCCACGCATACACACACACACACCAAAAAAAAATCAAAGAACAATGTGAAATTTTTTTCATGGAAAATGTCCAATTACTTCCCTCCCATCTAGTAGATCAAAACAGTTTCACAGGTAGTTGTATGCAAATTTCCTTACAGTTGCAAATCTGCAAATAGTGGGAAATTCAACACCATGTCTGTTAGAGGTCAATCATCAGGAAGCACTAAGCTCCCTGTGTTGGCTTACCATATAACATTATCATAGTTAATCAGATTCCGTGCACATGGAAATGCCACAGATACCAACATCCCATCCTACTTAGGAAAAGATCAAACCCCAGGGAACTTTTACCTAAGGTCTCTCAGCTAGTGTAACAATGGGTCAAAACCCAGGTCTTCCAGTTCTGCATTCTGATTAATACTTGGATAGCTATGAAATTGCAAGTATCACTCTGGTGACATATTGTAGACAATAAAAATCAAGAGAAAAAAACAGGTTGCAAAAGTGAAAGTTACTGATCACCAACTTTCTAAAGAAGCCAAGGCAGATGACAACATGAAGAGAAGAAGCTGGTTAAGTGACCAGCGTATCGCTCTGTAGCAGAAGTGGGGGGGCTGTACATGTGGTCAGAATAGGGGATAATTCCCCCCAAACTGTAATTTTTCAGCTTTGCCTCCTTGGTTTGATCTGCACACTGGTTCTATGGGACACGTGTGGGTTGAGAGTCTGGCATCCTCTCTGAGACGTGTTAAGAGGACAGAGGTGGATTGGTTCTGGATTTCTATAAAGACTTACAGGTAGTTAAATGCTGCAACAGCTGGTTCCATCTCTATGTAAAATTATAAGACGACATTTCTTTGCCTGATGAACCTTTAGGGATGAAAACAAAAATGTTGAGAAATAAAAAAAGAAGACTTCTTTAAAGAGTTATCTGAAGTTCCTGTGTTAATTTTCTGCAAAATCGTATAAAAATAGGTTATAATGGTGTCACACGCCTTTAATCCCAGCACTCGGGAGGCAGAGGCAGGTGGATCTCTGTGAGTTTGAGGCCAGGCAGGACCGACAGCCTCCAAAACAATACAGAGAAACCCTGTCTCGTAAAAAAAAAATAGGTTATAGTAAAGACAGTTTTATGTGTGGTCTTCATTTGGAAGTAATATTCCATTTTAGAAGCCATTAAGCCAATAAGTCAACATTTATTAGGTGTGTATTCTGTGACATGTCTGTGATGAATGAATAGCTGGTTAGTGAAAAAGGTAAATCCCTTTGCTCTGGGAGAATAAACATTCTAGAAGAAAAGAGAGAGAGAGAGAGAGAGAGAGAGAGAGAGAGAGAGAGAGAGAGAGAGAGAGAGAGAGAACACATGTAGAATCAAATTAATAAAGATAATTTAAAATTGAAAACCTTCGTTTTGTGGGGGACACTTTAGTTCTTAGGCTACATTTGTGAAGATTTTTGAGTTTCTCTGTGACAAAACAAAACAGGAATACCATGAAAACAGCAAAGAAAGCTTGGAATCCCCTGAGGCCAAGAGTATACCCTCCTCTGCCTCAGCTCTTGTCAAGAAAGACAATACTCAGGGTTAAGTTGTGTGCTGCTTTCTCATGTGGAAGTGATAACTGTATGTTGCTTTGCTTTTGTTCTAGGAATCTTGGGAAATCAGGACTCAGAGTTTCTTGCTTGGGTCTTGGTAAGTACTTACAGTATTATTGGGGGGGAGTGTGGGTGGGAAGGTGGGGGACTAAGGAGATACCAGAGAGTAACTGTGATGTAGGTCAGGGTTAGATCTCAGTAGAAGGAGACTGGCCAGTTTTGCCCAATTTCCCCTCTGAGCCTTTGTCCTTGTCCAGCATGCCCATCTCCCTGCCTAGGCCCAAGGATCCATCATTGTCCATTCATCTTCTATCTCAAGCAAAAAACAGCCTTAGAGGAGGAGGACCATTTACCTCCCCTGCTTACCTGGTATGCAAGAGATTTAAAAAATGCCTACGCATTGCTTACCTCGTCCTGCCTTAAGTTTAACTGAGTAACCCTCCATTCTCACCTCCCCTCTGACCGCTATCTTCACTTATTTCCTGATATCGCCGTGTACTTTACGTGCTTTAAAAAAAATCTGCTTCAGATTCTTTGGGGGCAAATGAGTTAATGCACACGCAAAGTGTTGTCAGTCAACAGAATCCGGAATAACAGGGGAGATGGTCCTCTAGGCATTCCTGTGAGGCATTGTCTCGATTATGCTACTTGGTGTGGGAAGAGACCCATCTTAACTGTGGATGGGATAATTCCCTGGCAGCAGGTCCTGGACTGAACAAAAAACAGAGGATGGGGATGCTTTTGGAATAGGAATGTTTGTTCCGTGTCATTGTATACTTGGCAAAATGTAGTATGGGTGTGGTGCTGCGTGTATGTCACACTGTGTCTAAAGTCGGGAGGGAAAGAGAGATGTACCCTGGTGTTAGGGGGAGCTCACCAGAGAAGACCACTGTGTCTACAGCATATGGTCAATCAGACATCCCAGACAACTGGGACCACACCCGGGTGTTCAGAGACCTAGGTGTGGTCCTAAGTGTCCAGAACACCCAGTTTTTAAGGGCAGAAGCCTTGTCCAGGCATCTCCTTTGACACCTGGGGGCAAGGGGATGGGTGCTTCACACAGTAACCAGTTTCAAGCAAGCGGGTTTAACAAAAGATAAGATAAGCGGTTGGCCAGTAGAAAGGGGGATTCTGCAGAAAGAGGCAGCTGAGATAGCGGTTAGCTGGAGGAGGTTCTGCACAAACAGTTTTAACAATGGCTAAGATAAGTTAGCTAGGACATCCTAACCTGGGGTTTCTAAAGGAGAACTGGGTAATTTCCCATGGGATTCTCCATCAAGGAGATCGGACTCCAGTTAAGCTTGGGATACTCTGAGCAAGAATACAAGACGGAGGGACCTCTGAACTGTCTTCCCCCATCGCACGGGCATTCAGTTCAGTTTCTCCGTTTTATGCTTATCCACTGAGGCGCTAACCTGGAATGGTGTCATACAACCTTCTCCTCCCTAGAAATGCTCTCACAGACACACCACAAGATATCTCAGGTGACTCCGCATCTAGTCAAGCTGACAGCGAAAATTGATGGCCACAAGCCTACGCCTTGTCAATTTGATACCCCAAACAACAATTTTAGCTGTAACCTTCCACACTCATCCTGAATGTCTCTCCTCCTACGTGACCATTTCACAACACTGTTAGTTCAGCTACAAGAGATTCCCCCCGCAGATCTTGACAATTCCATCACCGTTCAAAAGGTCAAAGTCCCCTGGTAAGATTCAAGGTAATCTCTTAACTGTGAACCCTGGTAGGAAAAGGGAAAATTAGTGCTTCTAGAATACCATAGCACGGAACAAACATCCCCACTCCAAGCGAGAGAAATAGTGACATAGCAAGGAAAAATGTGGGCTAAAGGAAGACTAAAAACTGGCACGTGAAACGCTACATCCTGCAACTCCAAACTGAGAGGCCTCAGATGTGGGTACAAGAGGGGCACTGAGATGCTAGGAGAAAGGAGTTTTCAGCATCATCATCAACACCATGGACAGGGAGACAGGGGGCAGCAAAAATGGCAGAGGCATTGAGGGGGTTGAAGCCCCCTCACCAGAAATGGGCAGCACAGCAGGAATGAGGGTCTCTTCTCCCAGCTCTGAGGGAACCGGTAATTCCCAGCACAAACCAGGCTATCTGACTACAGGAAAGAGGGTGGGAAGCAGGATGGGTGCCCACTAATACCCCCTTTCATGTCAACTAAACCCCCTCCCCTGCGAGGAATCCTGACACTTAGAGGTCTTAGCTAGAGATTCACAGACAATGGTCTCAGTAGAATTCCTCCCGTCAGACAGCAAAAGGGCTGCTTCCGTTATTGTAGCCTGAGAAGTGGAATCTAATGCATTCTTAAATGCATCAGACTGGAGTTGCATTAGTTTGCTTTCTGTTGCTATGGTGAAACAGCATAGCCCAGTGCAAGCTAGGGGCAGGAAGCGTTTATTTGGCTTACATTCTGAGACACCCCCCCCCAGATCATGGAAGGGTGTCACCCACATGAAGAGAGGCCCCCCCTCTTTAGTTAGAACTCTTTGGAAATCTCCTTGCAGACAAATACTTCCAGAGATGTGTCTCCTATGTGACTTTGACACCTGTCAATTGGACAATAAAGATTAATTAGCCATCACTAGGGTTTTTTGTGAACGTGCTTATGGCAAATCATAATTATACGTTCCTGAAAGGAAACACGCAGGAGTATAAGATGTAAAACATAGCAAATTAAGAAAATATCAGCTGGGAAGATGGCTCAGCAGGTAAAAATGTTTTATCACACAAGCATGAGGACCAGAGTTCACATCCCCAGAACCTATGTAAAAGCCTTGTGGGCATAGCATCCTGCCTGCAATCCCAACATGAAGGGGGTAGAGACAGGAAATACCCTGAAACAAGTTGGTTAGCCAGACTACCTAAAAGTGCAAGCTTTGGGATTCAGTAAGAGATCCTACCTCAATATACAAGATAGATACAACATACAAGATACAGCTGGGGAGGACACTTGACGTCAACCTCCAGCCTCCATCCACACAGGCACACAAACATGTGAGCCTGCAAACTGAAGTGCACCCACACGGTGCAAACATGCATGTACACTGCAGACACACAGTACACTCAAAAAGAGAAAGGAAACACACACACACACACACACCACAGATAGATGTATTTAGGAATACGACGTAAAAGATATTGACCAATTGTCTTGGAGTTGGTATAGGTCAGTCAGAGGAAACTCAACAAGATCTGCTCATAGCAGCAAACACTTGTAATCCTAGCACTTGGGAAGTGGAGACAGGAAGATCAAACGTTCGAGGTAACCTTCTACTACTTAGAAATTTTAAAACCATACTACGTGAGAGCCTGTCTCAAAAAAAAAAGAAAAAGAAAGAAAGAAAAAGGAGAAGAGTGGCAAGAAAGCTCAGTGCGTGAAGGTACTGGCCACAGTCCCTGACAACTTAGGCTTTATCCTCGGAATCCACACGATAGAAGGAGAGACAGCCACCTCCCACAAATTGTCCTCTGACTGTCACATGTGTACCATGACATATGCACGTGTGCACAAATACATACATACACGCATGTGCGATGCACATACAAACAGAGAGATTAAATAAACATAATCTTGAAACTTTTGGAATAAAAAATAAGGAAAATTCAAACAGAAGACTGTCACAATTTGAGGAGCCCAAAAAAAAATGTCGAATATGACTCCCGAGAGAGAGAGCAGGCTACAGTGCATTTCTATCTGTCTGTCTGTTTGGTTTTGTTAGTTTTTCTGTTTGTTTGAACTCAACCTGTGTGAACCATTTAGTTTAGTGCACTTTGAAATGGGTATGATCTAAGAGCAATAAATACCCATTTGAGTTTCAAGGCCTTTGAGCCTGAATACATGTGTTAAGACACTGGTTAAAAGAAAAAAAAATAGGAGAAAACAAGGCAGGTCACAGGTCTGAATGGCTTCAGGATTTGTTTCTGCTGCCTCTGGAAAGAAGAAAAGACAAAATACTCCCAAGAGCAGTACAGCCCCAGCCTTAGGGAGTTCTTCAGGCTCCACCGACCCCAGCTGTTGGATCAGTGAAGTTGGGTTTACTGCTCCAGGCTTAGAGGTCAGCTGAGTCACCACCATGGCCCGTGTTCAACTGAGACTTTGGAAATTAGCATTGACGCTGCCACCCAGGCAAGCAAAAGACCACACATACCTTTTGTTGAAATGCTTTAAAGGCTATGGTTAAAGTTCTGACCTTCTTCTCCATCTGGGGAATGGCTAGGCAGCTTCTTGCTGCCAAGCCGTCTTCTGGCAGACAAACAGCATGTAGAAGAGGAGAAGAATAGCAGGATGACTTGGGGATGAACTGATGATTCAACCAAGGGACACAGTCCTGACGGGGAAAAACAGAAGAAGAGATGAATCCCACCTGGAGATAGCATTAGCAGGGGCCATGTGTAACTACACACTGCCACAGCCATTCAGACCTAGTAGTTGTCAAATAAACTGATGGAAAAGATTATTAAATGCAGTCTAGAATAACCTCTGGCTTCTGGGGCACCCAGAGCTTAAGGAGGGGTAAGTTAGTGAGCTCACACCCTGCCATTCAGATTTTCCCATCTGGGCCCCTGCGCTCTCTAACCACAGAAAACTTCTAGGGTACAAGCCATGGATCTTACAACTAGGCATTGTGTAAGATATACTGCATGTGTGCAGCGTGTGCTGCTGGCTCATCTCCCTCTGCCTTTGAGTTTATCTCGCTGTACTTAAATATTTTGACACCAGGAGCACAGGACATTAAACATTTAACATGGTTAGGATTATTTTTATGACACCCTTCGTGATTCCCCTTTCTGTTGCTAAGGCCGCCCGCAAACTAGCCACCTCACCTATTATTATAACAACAGTCATGAGCATTTATAAAGTACCTCTAGACACTTGAGAGACCATTTAAAAGTAAAATTTCCTTCTCAAAGATTTTTTAACAATTTTTCTGCATAATGCAAACAGAATGGAGTATCAGGGAACCAAAATACCCACAGCATCCAAGTGGTACATGAATATTGAACGTATAAGAGCATTTTGGGCCTGTCACTCTTCCTGGAAAATTCCAACAAAAACATGATACATAC